TTACGGCGAGATATTGCTGTTTTTCGCTGTTTCCTTCCACAAAGACGAGTTTTTGTTTCCATAAAACCAATTATTTGAGACGGTGTTTTTAAGATCTGTAACAGTTTGTTAAATTTTATTATGGTAAGAGTTGTTTGGGCATCGTGATTTTCATGCAGTGTGGATATTAAACGATCAAAGTGAGCACGCATTTGAGCAGTTTCTTCGTTGAATTTTTCTTGGTTATCATTATCAAGAAAAATGACATTTATAAGAGTGTGTGTCATCACATGATATTGCCTGTGATACTGCAGTATCATTTATATTATTTGATGCATCCATTTCATTAACATCGTTTACATCATCATCCATATTTTTATAAAAGTTGTCTTCTGGGGCTGACTGACCAACAGCTAATTTTGCCAATTGTATTCTATCAGAAACTGTTAGAATTGGTGATGTTTTGAATAAAAAACCAAATTTCTTTTCAATTGCACATAAATGTTTACAAAACTTTTCACTTGTACCAAATGGGCAATCACAAAATGCTAGTTCAGAATTTACTGTATATAAAAGCTTTGGATCTTTATCTGAGCCAACATGAAATAGATTATCAGTTATTTTATAAATTAATTTTATGTCTTTACTTTTGCGACACATATTTGAATAATCAATTTGTGGTTTGGAACGCCTTGAGTTTGCAAATTCTAATAGTTTGCTCTTATAATAATTTTCAAACACTCTGAAAATAAATTCCACTAAGGCGCACGAGTTAAACACCTTACACCTCTGAAGAACTACATCTTTAAAAATTGTAATGGATGCTTCTGTATAATTGTTCGTATTATTACCTCGAGTAATAATATTACTTCGATACGTAAGGCACCACTCCATTTTGCGAATCCACATGTGATTCATATGTTCCAGCAATAGTGGATTACTTTGTACTACGTTATGATCTATTAAATTTTTGAAATATTCTTCTGCGTCTTCTTTAGTGGGTGCATATAAAACATTCCTAAACATTTCCATTAGCAATCTTCTATCGTCTTTTTTACGTTGTGGTCCAACTGCCAGAGCCATCTCCATAAAGCCTGACAAACATGAAAAATGCACAGCAATAGGATGGAATTGGGAAAAACTGTTGCTAAAGCATTCCTTTCAGCGCTACTATCATCAGTCATGAAGATTTACTCTGGTCACACGAGCCGCTGGAATCTACAAAAACCATGTCGGCTGTTAGATTTTGATCAAAGGCACGGCGCATGATTGGAGTAATAATAACAATTATAAAGGGATTTTCTTTTATTATCAATTCGCCTCCTTAAAAACGGGTGTTTTATTCTTAAGCACTTCTAACATATTGTTTTCTTCGCGAGTGCCATATTTAGTAAGCCGCCACTTATCATATAGATACCGAACTTGTCTCTCTGTAGGATTTTCTCGAGAATTGGCAAGAAGACATACTTTTTTTTCAGAAACCTCATTGTTTTCATATTCGATCATGGTCATTTCATGATACATTCTTGATGCTGACGGCGACATACCTGAAGTAAAATATGACTCAAAATTTTTTTTAGTTTCGTTGGCAAATATCCTAATGCTTCTGCCACTTTTACTTTGTGAGAATGTTCAAAGTTAATCGTGACTACTACGTTAATTCCATCTTTCAATAGATAATCGTTTTTTATCGTGTTTCGATTAATTTTCTTGAACATAAAATTAATTGAAGCTTTGCACTCCTTATTTCGTATTCGGCAATTATCCCTTTTCCGTTTGCATTCTACGACTTTGCCTTGTGACGAATGTTGACATTTATATAATTTTCGAAATTCGTATCGCGTTGCGTTTGAAAATCGGCGGTCAGAAATCCAGTTGGTGTCAGTTAATTTTGAAAATCGTTCTATCCATATATTACATTTTTCATCATAATCATTTCCCTCTATTAGCTTGCATTGCAGCCTGATTGTATATTTTTCGTAATCCGTTACTTTACTTTCTTTGACATGCATTTTGTCACATAAGTTAGAAAGAATATTTTTAATTTTTTCTTCGTTTGTTATATTGTCATTGGGTATATTGACTTTTGTTTTTGAAGTTCAACTAAAATAAGAAAACAAAAAATGTAACATTCTTCAAATATTCACTTGTTTGAGGTTTGCCATTATTTTTAAATTTAAAACTTTTAAAAGAATTATTATGTTTTTTACTTTACCCATGTTATGGCTATTTTTGTTTAGGTTAGATTAGCTTTGTCAAAAATGAATATACTTTACTCCTGACCAAATATCATTGTATCATCGTATACGACTAAATTTGATATACAGGGTGTTATTGAAATACACGTACATATTAAAATGGGGAATAGTATGTAATGACCAAAAACGATTGGCACCAATTTTAACTTCAAATTCTAAAATTTAAATATTGGGGAAGAGTCCCCTTTTCCGACCTACTAGTTTCCATATTTAAAGAAGTAAAATAAATCGAAATTGAACTTACCCATAGAAATTGCACTGTTGCCGTAGCAAAACCAATTAATTCAAAATAAAGTTTATTACAGTAATTGTTCAAAATGCCGTCCATTATTATTTACACACACTTGCAATCGTCTTTCCAAAGAACTTTGAACATTAGAAATTAGTCTTGGATTTTGTCGTAGTTCCTCGGCTACCGCATTAACTTTATTGGTTAATTGTTCAACACTATTAATAGGTTCATTATAAACCAGTTGTTTCATGTGACCCCACAAAAAGAAATCGCATGGATTTAAGTCCGGAGATCTCGGAGGCCACTTAGTAGGTCCATTTCTGCCTATCCACTTTTGAGGAAATCTAATGTTCAAAAGCTGCCGTACGTTTAAATCAAAGTGAGGAGGAGCGCCATCTAGTAGGTACCACATCCGTTGCCTTAATTGTAACGGTATCTCTTCTAGGAGTACTGGCAAAATATCTTCTAAAAAGTGGAGATATCCTGGCCCATTTAATCTGTTCGGGAGAACATAAGGCCCGATTAAATACTGATCTATTATGCCAGCCCAAACATTTATTGAAAATTTTCTTTGATGCCCAGTTTCCCTAATGGCGTGAGGATTTTCATCACTCCAAATATGCGTATTGTGCATATTGAACACGCCATCACGAGTGAATGAAGCCTCGTCAGTATACAATAATATTTTTAGAAAATCAGGAATATCAACACATTTTTGAATCATCCATTCACAAAACTCCACTCTCTTTTCTTCATCACCTGGATATAAGGCCTGGACTTTTTGGATGTGATAAGGATGTAAACCTTGTTCTTTAAGTGTCCGCCACACAACAAATGAGGGACACTCCAATTTCAAGACCTAGTCTTCTACAACTTAATTGAGGCCGGTTTTCAACAGCTTCCAATATTTCTTCTTCGGCCGCCAATGTTCTTTGTGTTCTTGTTCTCCCTCGATCTGCATTGACACTCTCAAATTTTCCATGGTCTCTTAGATGCTGAACAGTTGAAATAAACGTACCACAGTCCGGAATTCTCCGATTTGGAAACCGTTCGCGATACAGGATTTGTGCTTGCCGAGAATTTTCTCCAGCTGCCCCATTAACCAGCACTATATCCGTTAGTTCAATATTCGTAAATAGTGGCATCGTAAAAAAATATTTAAAAGTAATACCAACTTGGAAATGACGCGCTCGTGTTAGCCAGATTCGTAAATCAACTAAAATTTTAATAATCTATAGTTTCAAAAATGTATAGTTTAAAAACAATCATTTATCAAATATTCTAGTTTTTTGATAACGAGGGTAGTAAAAACCAGTCTTCGGAAATAGAAATTAATTCGAAAATCTTGGCAACATGGTAATTTCTTACAAGACTAGTTTTCTTATCATCTGACAAAAAGTTGTATATTAATTACTGTTGATGTTTAAAATAGGTAAATAAACCTAATTTATATAGGTCATCCTCAACATATCAGTGAAGTACGTTTGTTTTAGAATTAATTTTCAAAAATTAATAACTCCCTTAATAAGGGGTATTTTTAAAAAATAATATTTTTCTACATTCAGTGGGGATCTGCGCAATACCCAGTTTTAATATGTATGTGTATTTCAATAACACCCTGTATGATGGTTGTATTTTAGGTTTTATATTTTAGGTGCCAAAAGTGAATTATTTTATTGGGGATATATTATTATTATTTATTTGTTACTGACAATAATTATCGGTATAAATAAAAAAATGTCGTTTTTGCATTATTTAAAAAGTACAATAAAATATACGTACCAAAACCATACACTATTACAGAGCTTAACAGAGCGTAAAGAGCGTAACACTGTGATTTAAAATATAGACACTCCATTCAATGAGACTGTTATGTTAGTAACAAAAATGTGAGTTGTTAAAACCATGAATAGAATGGAGTCATACCACGCGCTTGCCCCCACTACAATATATTGTGTGTTTCAGAGCAGTTAAATTATAATGTAATCTGTACTAAAAGATGAATTGGCAAATTATTTCTAGCACTGCAGAAAATGGTCCGCTCTGTACTGTACAATACATTGGCAATACGCGTCCAGGTTCCGGCACACCAGGTGTCCGGGGGTGTTCGCCGATGACATATTTAAATTCAGCGACCCAAAAAATCTTAGGGCGCCGAGTTTTACTCCTTCCCCGTGTGAATTTTGGGAGAGTCCCACGGAGATGACGTTAATTGGCGTTCCTGAGCTCCAGGTCGGCTGTTGGTCAATTTGAACATTATAATCGTGATCAACAACCCCGAAAACCTCCTGCGAACCCGACTTAGGCCAATTCTGACTTATTTACAAAGTTCTTTAATTTTCCAAAGACCGTCTCAAAAAATGCATTTTTTGAATGCATTTTTGGCTGCAGCAATGCAATTTCCGGTTTGTATAAGATAAAAAGTAGAGACATTTCAAATTTTTGGAAGCGAATTCTTTACTTTAAGATGACTTGATATGTTTTATTCAAATGTAGTTTAATTAAGAATGATAATATTTTTTCCATTTCAGATTTTTAAAACTCCACCTCCAGTAACATATTCATTCAAAGCAGGTAGTAAAACAAAGCTCAAATCCGTGCTGAAACCTCTAGTATCAGTACCAGTAAGTCAGTCAACTTCATTTTTGGTAAGAGGCCAACCTCCATCTTCATCTGAAGCAGATCCGCTAACCACAAATGAACCAAAATCCGAATCTACATTAATAAAAGGCGTAAAATTAGTAAAAACACCAAAGGGATACTTGATAGTATCGGATGGTAGTAAAAATGAAGAACAAAACAAATCTGTTTTAGCAGCAGGTTCAAAGAAAAATGCTATTTACAATCAGCAACAAGATAATGCAGATAGCGGTTCATCCTCTATCGATGTGTCTGCATCTAATCTACCTTCTAGCGATAATTCTGTACCTCCACTAAGCAATATTATTTCATCTAATCCATCTCTTGTAAATATTTTAGAAACCAACCAATCCTCAAGTAGTATTAATTCCTCACACGTACCTTCTAATAGTATTTCAGTGTCCAGATTCAAAAATAACAATATAGACAAAGAAGATATGTACAATATAGACGAAACTATAATTATAGATCTGGACCTAGATGAAGAAGTTGGTGCAACGAGTGATAACGTAACTGAGTTACATATTATGGGTGATACAATTGTTAAAAAAGTTAAGGATAATTTACCGAATAACGAGTCAAATCTCGAAATTTCCAAATATGTTGCAACAAAATGTAATATATCAAATAACCAAAAGAGTGATGAACGAGAAGATGTCAATGAACCAACAATGGTGATAGACTTAGATCAGATGTTTGAGGACGCATTAGAAAATAATAAAGGAAATATAGATGAGAGTATAGCTACAATAACGAAAGTTACTCACAAAATGTTAGGTGAAATTATAAATTTAGACGAATCGGAAGATGACGATATAATCGAAGTAAAAAATAAATCTCCTCTGATGCCTGAATTTGTGAACGTGAACGATAGTTTTAACGATAAAATGGATTATTCGGATGATATGAACATTAGTATCCATAGTGCGGAAAAAACAGATGTATTAGAAAGTGCGGAACAAACATCCGAAGTGTGCAATCAGGTAGAAAACAAAGATACAGATATTGTATATATCAGCTGATATACAGAATAAATTGTATATTTTTAAGAATACAACATTGATAGTCCAACTAAAATGCAGTTTTTTGCGGTATATTTCTTTTTTTTATTAAAAAATCGTATGAATATATAATTCATTTACACCGTACTTGCACTGTGTTTGGCAAAAAGTTAGTTAATATTATCAAAACGTTATAAGTAAAAAAATCTAACACCACTGACTGTTGTTCAGTGTTAAAATTGGAAAAAATCTTTTTAACCATTAAATTTTTTTCTTAATTATACAAATGAGTAAAGCTTTTAAGTTATCTGGTCTAACAAAAGATTTTCTTTGAATAATTTAATTTAGAACATAATTTTCAATCTTGTAAAGAGGAAATTTCGCTGAGAAACGCGTTATATTTTCAACTTTTATTTTATTAATCTTAATTTCTCACAATTTCTGAAATTGCAGTATTTAGATATACATATTTTACTAGTCCAATTAAATAACGAAAAAAAGCCCCTTCGAGTTTACATTAATTTGTAATTGGATGAAACAAAGTGGACCTTGTGTATTTTGATGTGGTCTTTCCGAAAAAAGAAAAAAAAAAAGATGTAGCTGTTTTTCAATTTTTTTTAAATTAGGAAAAACCGGGTTTTCTGGAATTTTCCATGGTAAAAATGCTAATTATCTGGCCAAGTATTATTCTGATAGTAAAAATAAATGCACCAATCGAAAGAGGAGGCAAAAATAGTTCGGAAATTCATTGCACAGGTAGTTTTAATGGCGAATTTCTCGTCGCCAGAAGTGCTTTTACCAAAAAGTTTTTTCGTTTCTTTGATCATAACCATGAACATGAAATTTGCGATGAATTTGTGGCGAAATTATAAATGTTAGACATATGTGCCCATGAGAGAAGTTGCGTATTTTTTTGTTGGCTCTCAAATAAAATAAGTCCCGCGGCGAAATCTGCCATAATTTTTTGGGAATTCGCAGGAAACCGTAAGGCGTAGTTTTTTAAAAAAAATTTTCCATATGATTTTCTCCGGGTTTTCCGAAAACAAAAAATATATTTGTAAAAACTAACTGTGCCATCGGAAAAATACACAAAAAGGTATACTTTAAAAATGTTAGGAAATTAATCCTAAGCCTGAGTGTAAGTTCCAACTTGGTGATAAGCTTGTTTTTTGTTCTCTAAGATCTGGTTTTCTTCTCTCCTTTTTTTGGCTTTGTCAATCGCGGCCCTTTTATGTCTATCCCAGGTTTTATAAATAAACTCTTCCGTAACGTCGAGCTACGTAATGTTTGCAACACCTCTCATGCAATATAAAACCTGGTTCTAAAGAACTGAAAAAATCATCCCCCCTCTCTTTGCTGACCGTCTGCAGACCTTTCAATCCTGTCGGTCTAATTGGGGTAAGTTCACCCTCTGCAAGTGTCTGACGACATAATAAACACAGGCCAGCCATTGCAACCTGGAAACAAAAACATTATAGCACTGTGATAGAATTTTCTTAATTTAGGAACGTACTTAATAAATTGCTGAAGAAGTCCGAAAATCCATGTGTACACAGAGCTTGTTGAACACGATTATTAAAAATCTATTCCGATGAACACTATCAAGCGATTCAATTTGTAATAATATGACCGTTTGAAGTTTAAACTTGTCGGATAGCGAACGCCGAGACCATGTCTATCCTTGATACGACGTGCGGCTAATTTTGCGGTAATTCTATTTTTTGCACAAAACTCAAGAAACGTCTTATAACAAGTCAGTAAATTACAATTTATTAAATTTTAGGCCTAATAAATTTAGGTATGTAAAAAATTTAAAACTGGAAATCACAAAAAAAAATCAAATTACAGAAATGCAGTGTATACACGAGTTTTGGATCCCGCGGAGAGCGTGTAATGGGACTTTTGTCGGGAGAATTCTACAACTTAGAAGAAACATACACACTTTAAACTTAGTATACACATTCAACAGACATGAAATTTGGGTTTGCTCAATTTTCAGACCAAAAAACTGAAAATCGTCAATTTTAGGTAACTTTTCTCAAAAACCGTGTTTTTTGGTCGTCACTCAATGAACAGTGGTCAAAAAAATAGATAAATTATTTTTGCAGAATTTTCGGTAATGTAATCGTATCCTAGACACAATAAAGTACTCAAAAAAAAGTTTTGAGCCATTGGGTGCATTTTTGTGCCACTTCAAACTTTCGAAAAAAAAAAAAATCGTTTTTTTTTAGGAAAAAAAAAAAATTGTTTAATTGCTTGATATCTTGGCCAATTAGAGTCCGATTTCGGTGAAATTCACAAACACATAAGATTTCACATTCAAGAGTAAGCTCTGTAAGTGGAATTAAAAAAATTCAAATAGTTTGGCCTTTATAGGCAAACAATGAAATTAGGCCCTTCCGCCATAAGCCCAATTTTGGGATTTCTCTTGCCCCCTTCTGGGAATCAATAGTCACATCCCTTAAGTTCAAAACGTATTTTTGATTTTTCAAATATCTTAATTTTTACCAAAGTTATGAAGAATTTAGTGTTTGAACATTTAACAAATTCAATTTTTCGACCTTCGCCGCCTACAAAATCCAAAATTTCGGCACTTTTTTTCGAAAAACAGTTACATTTTGTTTTGCCTTTTTTCGAAAAGATCACCTCAAAATACATAGAATCCATTTTGTTTCATCTAATTACAATTTAATGTAAGCTCAAAACCCGTAATTTAATTCGATTATACGTATGGATTAATATTTTTTGTTTTTGTACGATTATCAAAATAGTCGATTATTTTCAATTATTCTATTATTTTCCAAAGTTCAATTAATCAATTCTTTTCGCTTAATCGATCGTTTTCGATTTATTGGATTAATCGAGAAATCGATTGTTTTTCACTATAATTTGAATCCATTAAGGTCAAAACGTACCATTATTAATTCTAAAAATTTTTTTATGTAATTTCACCAAAAATCCTTCTTAATTTTATGCGATTATTTTTATTGGGCTATTCCCTTGTCTTTTGATCCACAAGCTGCTGCATTTATATTTTTGAGTGACAAACTGATTTCGAAGTGGTTTCGGTGATGGTTTTGATGATGATTTTAGAAATTTTCGAGAAAATTTGTAGTGATTTTGAGTGGAAACGTATGTTTTGGGAGTAGTTAACCACTCGGAAAAACAAAAGAGAAAATCAATTTTAGAGCACTAGTTTAAGGAGGTGAGTTGGGTATACTTACACTTTTATTTTTTAAATTTTCTTTCCAGAAAAATTGTTTAAGAAAAACAAATTTCCATAGTATTTTCTATAAAAAAAGCATTCTTGTTTAAACGCGATAGAGTGAACAGTTTTTGAATAATTGTGACTTTTAAAATGTATTTGCAGACTAGATACTCATAATTTGTTGAGGTAACATGATAGTAGGTAGCATTGCTAAATCTCAAGTTTGATTATAAACGAATCTTATACATAAAAATTTAATAATTAAACTATAATATACAACTACAACAAATGTTCAAAATTTCCTCCATTTTTTTAATACATAGGTTTAGTCCATTGATAGACATATCGGCTGTCCAAAGGACATTCCGCATTTTACCGAATGACATCCGTTGGACTCTACAAATGTCCCACTCCTGGACGTCCATTTGGAATCCATAAAAGGTCCATATGTGGACTCTTTTTGTATTACTTTCGGACAATTTATGGACATCACTTACATTAATAAGAAATAAAATAATTGCAACTATGGACATATTTTTATTGTCATAAATAATATCAAGCATGTATTGGTTTTATACGCACTCCATCCTGTTGACCTTCTCAGCCTTTTTTTTAAGGTTATTTCGCTTACTTTTTAAGCAACACCAATCGTCCGCTCTCAGCAGTAGCTAAAAAAAAGTCATTTTATACGATTATTGAGTCTTAAATCAATCTTTTAATAAATGCCTGATCTGGCAAAACTGATAGTTAAAAATGTAAAACTAATATGAAAATATGCATTGACTAATGTACTTTACCCCTATACTTATATAAACAAAAAACTGCTCATTGTTTTTTAAATGACCATTTTACTTTCATATCATCATATTATGTGCATTATTTCGTGAGGTATTAGAAATTATGGCAACAAAACATCTTATTACTTCGTACATATCCTCGCCCTCTGGTTTTGATAACTGTTGAATCTAAAATTGCAATAAAAATATGTATTTGCAAACATTAAAGAGAAATAACTTATGAAACCACTTTCAATGCATTATTTCTTAAACGTACAATTTCTTTAAAAATATTTGTATCTTCTAAATAGCCTTTTACTTCTGCTAACGTCTCATGCATTACAATTAGAAACTTGAATTTTTTTTGACTCGTGATATCTGTGGGCCGTTCTTGTCTTAATACCTTTTTTCTTCTTTTTTTCTTCAAGTCTGGCTTGAATGCAGGGTTGCCAATCTGTGAGTAATTCCGCACATTTGTGAGTAATTTACTAGTCTGTGAGTAAAGGGCAATTGTGAGTAACTGGGAAGTTAGTGTAAGTATATTCTTGGTAGTTAGACAAAATTCTGATCGGATAATTTATTAAAACCGTGTTATTTTTAAAAATCGTAATAAGCCTAATTTTTCGCCCCCCAGCACTTCAAACAGTCATTACAATTTTATAATTGCAGCGTCCTCTATTGAATTACTGAACCTTAAGGCTATTTGTCTCGTGCTGACAGTTGGGTTATGCTCAACAATATTCTACTGTTCTGGCAATTCGTGGTCGACCTGTATTCTTTTTTACTTTCAATTTTCTTATTTCCCTAAATCGCCTTTCAACGTTAAGAAATGGAAAATGTTCTGCATATCTTCTGAATGCAGCATTAGCATTTCCTAGACATTTACCCAACGTAAGTAACATGTCGGTATTCGTGAAATGTGTACATGTCTTAACAAAAATAATACCAGTAAGAATAACATACTGGTATTAGGCATTCCAAGGACCTCTCAAACAATA